CCTCTGTAAGCATCAACACATAACTATTAATGGAGGAAAGAGAAAGATCAAAAAAATACAGGAGCATGCAGGGATCAAGCTTAATGTTTACAGATTTAACCTTGTACAAAGCAGTTAATTAAATTATGTGTTCCTAAAAGGTTATTAATAATTGTTATGTCAGCTAACATACATTGAGTACTTACTTTATGCCAAGAACATGATCCATGGATTCGAAAAACTAGTATCCCATTTAATCTAATCCTAAGTCTCAATTAGGGGAGGTATTACCATTAATCCTTAGTAGAAGAACTAAAGTATAATGAGTTTACCCTGTCCAAGGTCACAGAGATTTGAATGTGAGGATTGGCATTTGAACATCAGTGCTCTAGCTCCACATACCCATACACTTAACCATAGTCAAGGGTGTTGTATACATTTGACAGAATGGAATAGAGAGATTGTCATGAGCATGTTCAAAGATTGTCAGTTAGCACTGGAAATAATCCCAAACTGGAAACCTTAAACCTAGTAGAATCGATTGTGTACAGTGGTATTGATCACATGCAGCAAGAGTTACCCTTGTCAGTGATCACATAAGGGAGAATCTTTGTGTTTTATTTTTCTCCTTTTTAGTTTTAGACTGGATGATAAAATGAAAGTATAGCTTAGCAGAAATTCCTGAATGTCCCGAATAAAGGGAAACACATACAGGATTCCTAACAGAAAATAAAGGCAAAGATAGAATCAAAATGGCAGAGCTGGGGAGATGGCCCAGAGGGTAAGGTGTTCATTATGTAGCATGAGGACCTGAGTTCAGATCCCCAACATTCAGTGGGCATGCGGTGTGTGCCTGCAACCTCAGTGCAGACGGTTGGGAGTGGTGAATGGATAGGAAGATCCCTGGGGCTCACTGGCCAGCCAGCCTAGCTGAAAATGTGAACTCTAGGTTCAGTGAGAGACCCTGTCTCCAAAAAGTTAAGTGGACAGAAGTTGAGAAAGATGTTAACTCTTACCTCTGGCATACACACATGAATACACACACACACACACACACACACACACATACATACAGAATCTGAATGTGATTGAACCCCTGTTATATTTGAAACTAGATTATAAACAGAATGGCACCTGTAGATTGTAAGTAAAATAAGTGGAAAGGATCACAACGGTGAAATTCTATAACCAGTTCTATACCTCCCCCCCAAAAAAATCTGAAATATATTTGGGAAGAATTAAAGCATATTGTCCACATGAAGAAAATACTTAAAAGATTAAAGAGATAAAATAGAGATGTTGAGATGGACTGAGGAAATAAATCAAATGAGCAATGAATTGTGTGGACACAATTAAATCGAAGAGAATTAGGAGAGACTCCAGTAAACAGTTAAGGGCAAACTGAAGCTTCTTGAAACACAAAATGCATAATAGATATAATTTTAGTGAGATTTCAAAATAAGGCATACTTAAGTATTTCAACAAAATTTAGAGTTAATGAGAACAAGAAAGATAAGGTGAGCATGATTTAAGAGTCTTGTTCGTTGTTGTGTGTAAAGAATAAAAAATACATTTTTGTGGAATATACCGTTTCAAATTTTGATCTTATACACTAAAGGGAGAACACTTAAAAATAATAGAACAGCCAGTTGTGGTGGTGCACACCTGTAGTTCCAGCACTTGGGAGGCAGAGGCAGGTGGATCTCTGAGTTCAAGGCCAGCCTGGTCTACATAGTGAGTTCCAGGACAGCTGGGGCTACAGGGAAACACTGTCTCAAAAAGACCAAAAAAAAAAAAAAAAATTAGAACAATCAGGAAGATAATAGTCAAAACCTACATGCACCAAAGTGTACAGAAAAGGAAGTATAAAAAGGAAAGCTGCTGGGAAGCAGGGGGGCTTGGACTGTGTCTGCAACACCAGTGGATAGGGCCAGTGTCCTTTCAAAAGGGGATAAACCGGTGGAAGACATAAAGGACATAGAATTGTTCAGTTGATATAGTTTAATATAAGAATGCATTTATCTCTCAAATAATGGGCCTATTTTCAAGTCAAGGAACTTACCAAAAATCAAACACAGCTAACTATAAGAATACCCTTAATAATTTGGGGCAGAAAATAGATTTCCTAAACCACATTCTCTGTTCACAAGCCAATATTATTCAAAATGTATAATGGTTAATAAATTAAGCTTTAGGCACCTTAAATTTTGAAAAACATGTTATATTACTAGGACCAAAGAACCTACAAAAAAAAAAAATGAAACTACAGACTACTTAGAGGTCAATGGAAAACACTTTTTATTTCCAAACTGTGTTATACAGTGTCGCCCCTACTTGCAGAAAACCTTATAACCTTGAATTCTTCTTTAATTAAAGAAGAACTATAAGGCCTGGGTGTGCTGGAGCACATCTCTAATCTCAGCACCGTGGAGGCAGAGGCAGGAGGGTCACTGTAAAAGTAAGGCTATCCTGATCTACTTAGTGACTTATAGGCTAGATAGGGCTACACAGTGAGACCCCCATCTCAAAAGACCATGAAGAAAGAAGTATGGAAAATAAAAGAAATAATCTGAAGAAAGTCACATGTCAGAAAATAAACTGAAAGAGACTAAGAAATCAAAAATCAAAGTAAAGCCCAAATCATGGGATAGAACATCAAAAATGTTGGGTATACATTTCTGGACTAATCTCTCAGCAAACAAATACAGATGTGCTTGGAAGTTATATGTGATCATTTCTCACCCTCCTGTTTTCTTTCCCCTCCT